TACGCCCATTTTCCAAAAATTTATAATATTCATGTTTTCCGTCTGAGACTCATTGTAAGTATCAATTTTGAGTGAATCTTCAGTAGTTACTAAAATATCGAAGTTTTCGTATTTTTTAAAATTACCGTTATATGGGAGGTAGGCGTGGTTATTGTCCGATTTCGCCCATTTTCAATACCATCCGTCCTACGCCCAAAAGAAGTTCACGTACCAAGTTTCGTTAAGATATCTCAATTTTTACTCGAGTTATCGTGTGCACAGACGGACAGACGGACGGACGGACAGACAGTCACCGCTTAATCGATTTCTCTTTTCATTCTGATCATTTATGTATACATTTGTCTATATCTATCTCGATTCGTTTTGCCTGTTACAAACAACCGTGATGTGAACAAAGTTATAATACCCTTGTGCACAAGTGCGCTCGGGTATAAAAATTGGTACTGTTTAGTAAGTAAAAAATTGCACACACTTGTAGCCAAGGGTCTACCCATTATTTTAACATCCACTATTGTAATTTTTGGTCACTAATTTATTTACAAATTGGGTTAGAAATATGCCCTTTATTTGTAAAATTCGGAAATTAGCGTATGTTTATCACTCCTATTCTCCTTAAAGCAGCTACTTCAGCAATATATTTTTATATTCTCCGTCACTTTACACTTTACTCGATGGGTTATAACTTTCTATATAACTTTAATATTAACCAATTAATCACAATTTATTAAATAAAAACACCTTCTAAATCATGCGTCTGACTTTGGTTGCATATGCAAATTAAATGGCGTAGTTCAGCTGTCAAACTCCAAAATATGCAAAAGAATGAGAGTCAAAAGAAAATTGGATATAACCCTGTAAGCATTAAAAATATACAAAGGTGTTCTCTGCAAAAGGTGTTCAGCTCCTTTTCTTCGGAAAACAGAAAGGAGAATTCTTTCGTAAAGTGGCGACTGTCCCCTTTCGAATGAGGGGGATTTGGGGGCCACGCCCCCTCTCCCTCCGCCCCCACCCCAAAAACGATGGGCCAATAACTAAACATTTCCCAAAAAAAGAAATAATGCCAAATTAGATATCGGGGGATTTTGAATAAAGGATAAAAAATGTAAATTAAAAATAGAAAAAAAACAAGTCTTTATAAAAAACAATGTTTTTATTAACAATTGTATTTTTGCGTAGAATTCCATTCTGCGTAGGCGGCCTTCGGCCGCACTTAGGGATTATAAACCTCAGGCAGTATAATTCTCCTTTCTGTGTTGTCAAAGAAGGGGAGCTGAACACCTTTTGCAGATAACCCCTTTCTGCGTAGGAAAAAACAAGTCTATAAAAAACAATGTTCTTATTAACAATTGCATTTTTGCGTAGAATTCCTTTCTGCGTAGGCGGCCTTCGGCCGCACTTAGGGATTATAATCCTCAGGCAGTAGAATTCTCCTTTCTGTGTTGCCAACGAAAAGGGGCCGAACACCCTTTGCATAGAACACCTTTCTGCGTAGGCGGACTTCGGCCGCACTTAGGGATTATAACCCTCAGTCAGTAGAATTCTCCTTTATGTTTTGCGAAGAAAAGGAGCTGAACACCTTTAGCAGAGAACACCTTTGTATATTATTAATGCTTACTTGGTTATATCCTACCTCCTTTTGTCTCTCATTCTTTTGCATATTTTGGAGCTTGACAGCATATGCAACCAAAGTCAGACGCGTGATTTTGAAGGTGTTTTTATTTAATGAATTGTGATTAATTGGTTATATTAAAGTCATAAAGAAAGTTATAACTAATTGAGTAAAGTGTGAAGTGAAGGGGAATATAAAAATATATTGGTGAAGTGGCTGCTGTAAGGAGAATAAGAGTGTTAAATATACGCTGATTTCCAAATTTTACAAAAAGGGCCATATTTCAAAACCAATTTTTAAATAAATTAGTGACCAAAATTTACAAAAGTGAGTGTTAAAATAATGTGTAGACCCTTGACTACAAATGTGTGGATTTTTTTTTTGGATCGGACCATCCCTTTGGACGGAATAACCCGAAATAGTTGTGAGCGCTGTGTTGTCGGCCGCTGTGGTGTAGTGGTAAGCAGTGCGCGCTTCCACTCCACAATGCCTGGGTTCAAACCCTGGTCAAAGCAACATCGCAAAAATATAGAAAAAAGGTTTTTTCTAACAGCGGTCGTCCCTCGGTAGGCAATGGCAAACCCCCGAGTGTATTTCTGCCATGAAAAACAGCTTCTCATAAAAATACAATCGCCGTTCGGAGTCGGCGTAAAACTGTAGGTCCCTCCGCTTTGTGTGACAACATCAAGGCGCACGCCACAAATCGGAGGAGAAGCTCGGCCAAACACTAACATATGTGTAAGCGCCAATCTATTATTATTATTAGTTGTGAGCGCTACTAAACCCCACCCGAGGTATCCTGTAAAACATGTATAACTAAAAAATATGAACAATTATAGGGAAATGTTTAGTTATTGGCCCATCGTT